TTAACAGACAGTTGAATCAAATTCCTGAATTGAAGAATGTTGGATAACTCTTAAATGTAAATCTAACTCAAAATATCTGTGTTTTATATATACAGTTAGCTTTTCAATTTAATAGTTGTATTGTGGGTACTGAACAGTTTCAGTGTATTACAACGAGAGAGCAACAGAGAAAGCAGCTGGTGAAGATCAGAATCTAAAAAATGTGCAGGTTGTACACATACTCCATAGTATAGCACATTTTATAAGCTTACTTATAAAATGACCCTCTGATGAAATACGTACCATTAATTTATTCAAGTAAACACACATCTAAAGTAATACATTGAGTTACTCAGTATATCACTATCTGCTTTTTATTCTCACAAGGCCACTATTAATTGCATGCAAAATTCTACTAGTCCAAAGGAAACCTAAAAATGTTACTTTCTCACAAAGCCACAGATATCTGAAAACCAAATTTGGTTGACTTTTGTATAAAAAAATACACCACTTGCTTTTCCCCAATTTCGTTTTAAGAGAAAGGGCGTTCATCTTCTAACTGCGTTAATGCATGGGCTGTGTCTACCCCAAAAGAAGACTGGAAAACTGATCACTCCTCAGAAGTTAAATAGCTTACAACTGGATAAAGAAGCAATTAAAGGACTAGTTCTGCCATCACTGCTCCCACTGAACAGTAAGTTATTCTGTTTCCATAGATTTCAAAGATGTCTCACAAGCCAATAGGCTTTCAAAATTTCACTACATCTGAAGTAAGGGCCTCCTCAATGGGTAGACAAACTGGGCACAGAAATTTTCAAATAATTTCACGATCACATTTCCAAGTGTCATGCCATCCACTGTATCCATGAATGTCTAAAAGTGTCCTTCTGCTTTGAAAACTGATTGAGAACACCCAATGTTTTGTTCAGATTTCTCAAAAGGGGGCAGGAAGAACAGGAAAGCCATGAGCTCCAACAACAGTTCTGGTACTCCATGCGTCATACTACTTCGATGCATATTCAAAGAACACTGTGCGTGATGTGAACTTGGAAGGTTTATACATGTATTTTCTTTCTGTTCTCATGTAGCCTTAAATTTGCCTTGCTCCCCAGAAGAGACTAAAGTATCTGACATTACTTGAAAGTGACTTAGCTACTATTTTAAGATGTTACTCTTGGAAGGTGAACATTTTGCAGCAGTCTATCTGGGTTTAATGTATGTTTCAATTTACAACTGATATTTTCTTTAGTATTGAACAGTAGACTAAGGACCCTAAAACATTGTGCATTTTGAATATCAAAGTATAATTTGGGGCACACCAATGTGCAACATTATTGATTTTCTGGAAAAAACTCATTTAGGAAAACTAACATTCTTATGAACAAAGAACATTAATAAATACAAGATTTTTGTTTAACTGAATCTAAGAAAAATACTGTAAAACTTCAAATGCACAAGCTTGCTTTGAGAATGTATTGTATAGCAACATGAAGTATTTAAGGTTTTTGTAAAATGTGTAAGGATAATTGCTTCCATTTACTGTGGATACTTTTCCACTCTGTCAAAATCAATATGCAGTTATTCTCCGCATTACCAATAAGGTGCAAATTTCCCATCAATTAGGTCATGCTGACATTTCTTTCAGGATAACTCTTAAATAAGTTTGAAACACAAAGTGTGAGGGCCTTGTGAGTAAAGAGCTACACAATGATGTCAAATGAGACTGAGCTGTGGATGGGGAATTCTGTTTGATTTTTCTAGAGCTAAAATTTGCAATGCACTTGCTTTTTAGAAGTGATGAGCAACCTTGATTACTTATAAGTAGTGGTGAGTACTCCAGCATCTTCTGAATAAAAACGAAGCCTAATTCTCACATTAAGCTTCTTTTGATCTAGTCGAAGAGAAGTTCCTCAGATGATGCAAACTCCAAAGCTCTGTTAATGTTAATGGACCTATGCTAATTTATACCAGCTGAGAAGCACCTGAGGACCCTTTTCTGACCCCCAGGAAGTGCAAAAAGGCCTCAGTACAAATAAAAAATAGTTCCCCATGATCAAATCCTTGTATCAGTAAATTCACAAGAAGCTTTTACATTGATTTCAGTAGGGTCAAAATTCCATGCAATGTAGCTACATGCACACATAAACTCTGTCATCAAACATAGTAAGGTTTTGAGGTTTTTTTCTTTTGGGAAGTATGAAAGATGAATCAGTTTTACCAATAATAAACACACACACGCGTGCACGTATATCTTATATGTATGTCATAATCTTTTTATGCATGGTTCTCAGAGAATTCAGCAGATGATTAAAATTTCCATAAGAATTCTTAAAAAATTAAGTAACGATATACTTTAAAGAGAACTCCAACTTTATGTGAAACATAAAAAGGGTGCTGGTTTTTTGTTTTTTTAAGTTTTCAAGTTACTTGAACTAAAACTCTTGCTGACCTGGTCAGTTTGATGACAGATGACAGTTTGTCATCTGAAGTGAGCCACCTTTACCTTCTTGAAGTACAAACCCCTAATACAGATAAATAATTCATACCCATTATCTGGAAAGAGCCAGGATGAAAAGATGCACAACTACACTTGTAACTTTTACCACGGTATTTTTAGGATTTACTTGAAAATGCATGTCTGTACATCAGTCCTGTACAGATTCCACAGATGCTATAACAGCAATAGATGCAGAAGACAAGTGGGAAATAAAGCCTTTCTCTTTTGTTTTGAGAGAATTAACTTTAAGGGTGGAGAATGACAGGATATTAAAGCTTATTAATCATTTAAAACACAACACAAACATTAATTACAGCTGATGTAAGTAAAAGCTAAATACACTCTCAGGATCTTTCATATTTTCTATGCTATACATTTAAAGACAAGGTATCAACGGCATGCATCTTCAGCATTTAAAATGCATTTCATGGGTTTGTCTTTATTCTGATGTTTGAACGCAATTCAGACTCTTTACTTTTCCTTCCCTTGGCATGTCTGGAAATTTCACCAGTGTTCACATACCCAGCATACTCTTAATGCTTCGAAACTCCATGAGGTACATTCACCTCCTGTTTACTTTGTCTTCATCCAGTATTTGCTTCTCCTGAACAGAGACCACCAATGCTGATGAATTCTTGAGGCTTTCTGGGATGGGCAACCAGCCACCTGGCACCCGACTGAGACCACATGTTGCTGTACACACAACCTTTCCCAGGCATAAACACAGCTCCTTATAAGTAAAAGGCGAGAATAAGGATCTGTAGCATGACTTTGCTTTCAAGCTTTATATACAATATTGAAGAGTATGTTATCTGTATCCATTTCTGCATTTTCTGTCAGTTCAGAGAACTCCATCTGAAGGTAAGGTAGAGGACACAGAACTTAAATTAAGGATGCAAAGGTATTTATGACTTTGAATGATTACACATAGTTGGAGGCATTTGAAAGATGCTTTTTGTTCAGGACATGTATTTTGTTTGCCAAAGTCAGCTGCAAGTATTAATGCAATTAAAAATCCCCAAATGCCAAACAAGGTAGATATTCACATGAGATACAGTCCTGCTAAGTGCACACTCTTCTTGTCGTTGTTCAATTCAGTGTTGGTTTCACAGTAACAAACACAAATTGTCCTCATTTCTATATCATGTCTATGGAGTCATGGGCAGCAACAACAGATGCAGACTCAGTCTGTCACTCCAGAAGGAATACGAATGTGCTTAAAGCTGCTTCATTTATGAAGCGAACATGGAACTGTTACCTGCCTGAAGAGAAAAACAGAAATTATAATTTTGCTGTTTAGTTTTCCTCTCTGTATTACTAAACAGTAGAGCTTTTCACAGACATATAACATAGACATTTTTTCTTATAATTTTGGAAATAGGTAAATTCAATGACACTTGCATAGACATTCCTTTATTCTGAAACAATTACTGTTATAAGATGTACTTTCCTGGTCCAAGAACACACTTGCCTGCAAAAGCTCATTGATGTCCTCAATAGTGATGAAACAACTCTCATGGTTTTACAGAACTGTTATGTTTGTGCATTTTGGTATCTGGTAATCTCTGGCAGCAAACTTCCCTTTGAAGTCATCTGGACAAGCCAATATCAAACTGAGTTTACATCTTTTGAAAAATCAAATGACTTGTCCAATGCAGTGATGATTTCCCTTTTCAGTGAGCAGATGTTAAAACAAAGCAGTTAAGGAGACTGAAAATCTCTCAAGTTGTAGCTAACTAGATCACAACGAACACTCTGGAATGCACTTGAAAGTGACTGCTACAGGATAAACTGTAAAACCTGGATTCCCTGTTATACTCTTACACTGCTTTTTCCACCCACACGATAAAATGAAGCACTTAGCGCTGCCTGAGTCTTCCAGACCCTTGCCAGAGACGCTGTGGGTTAAGTACACCACAAGTCCTGTGGTAAGAAGCCCCTTGCCAGAAACATGCACTGTTCTGCATAGGACAGCTGGGACTGAGGAAGCTTACTTGCCTTTGCTGCTCACTCTTACATACTAAACCAAGAATGATGCTGATAAGGCTACAGAGACTGCAAACTGTGCTGAGTAAACAATTAATAGAAGCTCAGCTCTACTTGGCCTGTTCTCCTACACTAACCTGCTAGTTTAAGAATTGTGTTTTTTGGGTCACGCTGCTTTGAAACAGATGTAGGACAACAGCTGAAGACTTCTCCATATCGGGTCTCATGCCAAAAAGGAGAAGCAGTAGCTGTCCTTCATTTTGGAATTCCGGCATATTTCATTTTGTAACATTCAGGTTAAAAGTCAAATGCCTAAACTAATGATACAGGATTAATTACATTAGCAGCTAAATATCTTAGGTACAAATGAAGCCTACTGATAACAAGTTTTATTTTATTTTATTTTTTTCCTAAAATGGACTCTGAATCACTTTATATTTCAGCAGCCAAAAGTTATTAAGCCTATGGTAAGACTCTCAACTGTAGCAACTTACCAATACACGAAACAGTAACAGTGTTGAGGGAGAAAAAGCAACAGCTACACTTGTAGATGTTCTTTTTCTTTTTGCTGCAACATACTGAAAAAATAAGGTAATTTATTACTACAGTGCTAGTGTTTCAAGGGAATAGAATGGAAGGTTTTATCAGTTAGTTACAATAAAAACATTTACATGTAATAAAAAGAGAACACAAAGTATTAGAATTCATGTTTGCTAATAGGTCTTCCTAGTTGTAGAGGAATATTACAAATTTCTCAGGAAAGAGGGAGAAAAAAAACATGTGCCATGTATTTAAGAAGACGTCTGATGGAGAATGTAACCTGTTTAAATTTCCTAAGGCCATCTCTTGCATTTAATTGTTCTGTTTCCCCTTTCCTCTTTTCCTCCTATAAAACAATGTTTTATATTTCCTGTGAAGTTAAAAGGAAGATGCACGTTTCATTTCACAAGTTTTAATATGTGTGAGGATGAGGTGCAGGATGAGTTATATGTAGCAGTTAAGATACTTGGTGAATACAGTCTTCCATTCTATGTACTGTACATGAAGAAAATTTGTTATAAGAATGTATTATTCTAGAAAGTTTAAACACTGAAAATTTCAACTCCTGTGACCAAAATTGCGAGGTCAGAACCTCGCTTATTTCTGCCTTCAACAGCAGGCAGCACCAGGCATTTCACACAGTGTGAGAAGCCTACAGGAGAAGATGTGTCCTGCTGCCATCTGTGTTAGATCTTTCCCTTAATCCCTCATAGTTAAAATTTGACCAAACACCCTGAAATACAAGGTTAAATAATACTCTCAAAATAGAATCATAGAATCATAGAATTGTTTAGGTTGGAAAAGACCTTTAAGGTCATCAAGTCCAACTGTTAACCCATCACTGCCAAGTCCACCACTGAACCATGCTAAATGCTTTAGCATGAACTATTCTAACTTAAAATATACCTAAGTCCTTTTCTGAATTTCACAGATTTCTTTGCCCAAGTCATGTGCAAGCAACTTTGAATGTCTTCAACTGTTATTTCCAAGGTATATTTGATTAACTGAGTTACACAGAATTTTTTATTTTTAAAAATTAGATAAGGCAGTTTTTAAGTATGAATAGGGCCATGAATAATTTCTGGATGACCTTATGAAGTTATTATGATTTGAATGAGTTCTCATTAGCTTTCTATGAAAATTAAAAAAAAACACAGAAAACATAGATGCTTATATACACATACCCTGGAGAATGTAAAAAAGTGACAGCTCATAAAAAATGTTAATGTAAAAAATATTTAAAAGGATTTAGAAGCACAGCCAGGAAGGCACTGTTTTCTATTTATTTACATAATATCAAGCTAGCTTTACACCACACAGCAAATGACAAAATTCACTTTTTTTTGTTGCTTGCCCTATAGGTCTCAGCAATCGTTTCTCACGGTGGGAGTAAGGACAGATAAAGTCAAGGTAATGTCCTGTTAATAAAATTTTATATACAGAAACCTCCTCCATATCAATTTTTATACTTAAATTAAAGGACACACCCTAAGCACACATTTTGCCTCTACAGAAAGACCCTGTGTTTGGGGTTTTTTGTGTTTGTCTTAGAGCTAGAGAGAAACCTTCAGGAAGTAGCTCTCAAAGACAAACTTACATTTGTATATATGTATATAAAGTAAAACAATATACCTTATCTCATTTTCCTCTTGACAGTCATGACACTGTGTAGTTTCACCACTTTCTGGTCTGGATTTGGGATGTGTTTTCTAGGAAGAAAATGCATTAAATATAAATATTTTACAGCTTTCTTTAACAACTCCCTAAACAATTGCTGTATGCTTCAGTTTGCTTCAGATTTTCAATATCAAAGTCATCTTGTAAAATGTAGGCCTAATCTTTTCCTCTAACATACATCTACTAGTGGTAGAATTTTACTGTCAAAGCCTTTGTATTGTAGGTAGGGGCACAAGGAGCAAAAGCAAAAGAATCCTCTTCTCAAGATATAATAGAACTGGGAATTTGAGAGAATCCCATGTTTTTAATTTCCAATTAGACTGCTATCATGCTGATAAGACAGGATTTGCACTTTGGTGGTGGAATTCAAGAATTTGACAACACAGATTTACATTTGCATGTCACACAGTTCAGTGAAGATCAAAAGAGATGTCTCTTGCTTTCAAACGCAGAATGGTTCTGTTCTTCCTGCCTCCCCTTAGCTAAGAAATGTAGTATTACTATGTAAAAAACTAAACATAATATTTCTTACCTTCCAGTATATAGCTCCCAAAATAAAGCCAATAAGAAGAGACAGCAATGATGTCAGTGCTATGCTGATCCCTTGCAGGCTGGAGCTGCTAATGAAGCCAAGTACCTCTTCTGTAATTACAGATGTTCTTGTTAGTGAAGACAGATTTAAAGCAGAAAACTATCTTCCAGGCAACACTATTATCAAGAGCACTTTTAGGCACAACCTACATAGCATCTTAAATAGTAGAACAGATACTTCGAAGTGCTGTGTACATGAGGTGCACTTCACACAAAATCTCACAGGAAATTTTTGACCACAAGGATGCTCCTCCCATTTCTGAAACAGCTTTATTGAATGCTTCCGACACTAGTTCTCTTTTTGTCATTTGTAGAGAATTTTCTCTTTCCTGCACTTCATAGTTCTGGGTTTATCAATTTTTAAAGGTCTTATTTTGTAACACAAAGTGAATATATCTGTCACTTTGTGCATTTGCTTAAGTTCCATAAGACATATCCCATTGCCTGCAGACAGACACTTTGCCTTGCCACTAATGAATGACCAACATGAGGCCTCTCGAGGGAGGTTAATTTAACAAAATAAGCCTGACTTCATTTCTAATGTCTGTCTGGAAAGGTCCCGCTGACTTCAGTAAGATCAAACCCTTGCACCCTGAAGTCTAGCTGTGTGTTATTTTGTTGCTACCATTTCTTGACAGCTCTTTACATTTTATACAGAAGAGCCCCAATCCTAGTCTTTTATGTACACAAGCAATTCCATTCCCCTCACAGGGAGCTGTACGCATGCTGAGACTAAAATGTGGCCCTCCAGTTATTTAATCAAGAGCAGGATGTGAAAAGTCCTACAGAGTCACCCTAGGATCCACCTTCTGAAATGCAAAGCGAGCCACAGGAGACTGCTAGTTTAGACACCATCCACCCAGTTTTGGTTCATTTCCAGATTTGGTGTCTGCAGCTCAAATGGTGAGTATCTTGTCAGATTACAGGAAAAGAACCAAACGGTAAGCACTTGGAAAGTGTAGGTGATTAGATACAGAAAATGGACTGATAGCACCAGAAATTTGTGTGACTCATGCAAACGGCAAATGTCTAAGCACGTATGGTATGATATGCTGGATCAAGCAATGTGCATTTAGTACATTATTAAACAGCCCCTAAAAAAACACTTTAGCTTAGAAAGGAGCATTCTCATAATCAACTAGCAACTCATTTTCAAATCTCTGAGATTTTCTGGTTGACATTTTGCAAGTTTTTACACAAATGTTCTTTTTATCTCTGAAATTCAGCTGTGTTTTCTAGAGTCATGGTAGACAGAACTAAAAAGTAAGAAAACAAAAAGTCTGTATCTTATATGGTCATATACTACATATATCTCTGTATCTCATACACTGTTTACAAATTCTAGGTTCTGACTACAGAGGCTTGAATTTTACTTCTGGTAGACTTGGCACACTAAAAGGAAACATTGGTCAAGCAGAACTGATGATAGCTTACTGTGAAAGAAATCTGTCTACAGAGGAGAAGGGAAAGATAGCAGACAAAGTTCTACAGAGCTGAACATCAGCTGAAAAAGAGAGGCTATCGATTAGTCTGCCTCTGTCTGCTCAGACATTAAAACCAAGAGCAGAAATTAAATGGAGGGGCACATCTTTTCCCAAACTGTCCATCCCAGATTAGGCGTAGAGGAGGTCTGCTTGCAGAACTGACCTTCAAGAGCCTGAACATCTCATAAAAAAAATTCCTGTCATTACTTATCTGAATTGTATTCTCAGCATATTCTCAGAAGAAAATTCCTATATTGCTCTTGTGCTCTAGTCAAGAAAAATGCAACAGATTTGCCTAATGCCATTAGCCATTCTTCCCAGTGAGAGACTGCTGAGTTATACAACTGAATTATGTAAATCCTATGGGGCTGGTCATGTTTTCTGGATTCTGCCCTGCAAACTTCAGAAAAAATGGAAAAGTGAAATAAAAATCAAAGGAAATCAGGTCATATAGAGCATAATTTATTTGATAACATGTTATGGTAGAGTGTATAACCTCAGAAATCCTCTGCCTACTCTGCAATGCTGGGCAGCACGTCATGGCAAGCATGCTGATTTTTACATGAACCTCTGGAGAAATGTTCTGTATGCAGGGTGATCAGTGATAGCCTAGCACCCTCATTGCTACCACTATTTTTCACAAACTTTAGAGCCTTAGACAACAGAAGAGGTCCCTTGACAATAAGGTATCTAGAAGTGGAAAAATCTGGTTTCTGTGAAGATACCTCCAGTGCAAATTCTGTCTTCAGCATCTATGGAAAACTGAATTAATAATTAGCTGTCCATGGGGGGACCTGCAACCCAAGGACAGAGCCTAAATACAGTAAAATTGTGACAGCCTACCTTTTAAAAACGACAACAGGGTTTTTTTCATAGCTTGATAGTATATGAATTAATTCGAAAGTTAAGTAACCCATAACTACCTTAAAAAGCAAACAACAACAGATTATTTAATTTCACTTTCAAGTACAGAAGAAAGTCTCTTGAAAGGTCTGAAGAGAATGAAATGAGTTATGGCACGTTTCTTCATGTGCCTTTTATTTATACTAACATCTAAAACACAACAGGTTGGAGAATTTTCAGTCTGGAGAACCTCCTGGGGACCTGTGTCCTAATGAAGAAATGGGAGATAAGGAAAGCAAGCTGGCTGCCAATAGGTTTTTATTCCTGCCATAGGGACCTTTTCCTCTATTAGAAACTTTAGAGCTCTATACCGAAAGATTCCCACTCCCAGCAGTTGTAAAGGCAGAGTAGGAGAAGGAATAGGAGGAACCAGGTGTATCAGTAACTTTGTGAACTCCTTGGGCAACGCCAGAGGAACTACTGGCTTTGCAGTTAGTATATTATTCACTTAAAATAGACTGTATCCAGCAAGGTGCAAAAGCGGAGTGGAAGCAGGCCAGCACCTCTCAGAGCTCTCACTCTGCACCTTATGGAAGAAACCCTTAGGAAGTGAGCTCATCTGATGTAGATTTATGTATAGTTTTCATGTGCATTGGGATATTAAAATGTGAACAAAATATATTTATATTAAAAGCCACTCAGCTGCACAATGAAGCTATTGAGCTGCTCTCCCACCTTGAGCCATGTGTGTAGGTTTAGCAACTGATTACGATTCAAAGCACTGGCTCGATTTTTTTGCCATATATATCTCAAAGGAATTTTCAGTTTATCTCTGCTCAGCTCCAACACAATTACCACAAGATCTTATCTATAAAAATGCAGAGCAGCTCTCACCTGTTCATTAGGGTTTTCCATGAACTACAAAGTTGGAACAAAGGAACAAAGGCACAGAAGGCAACACCAACTGCACTAAAACATGGGTGAACATTTTCAAACTGTTGGGCAATTACTGAATTAAACTATGGTATTCTTTGCTTAATTATAAAAGTAGACCTTCTTCCTAAAAACAGTTATAGAGATCTCTGTGTTTACACATTCTTTGAGCTGTTCAGTACTGAATAATAAAGCTAAATTATTGTGGGGAAATTATAGGCAAAAATGGAAGAAAGCAACACAGAACTTTCCATGAAAATATAAATAATACCATGGCACTAAATTGAGTGAGAAGTATTAGTAACAGCTAGTAAATTCAAGCTTTAATCAGAGCAACATGAGATTAATCTGATGGGAAACAAAAAGACTACTATTTATTGTTTGGTTCAACCACTGAAAGAAGAGACCAGGACTCAAGACTTCTTATCCTGACACTTGCTCTTTACAAAGGAACCACCTCATCTGAATTCTCTAGACTATGCATGGTATAATGATCCAGAGAAATACCAATTAGACTTGGATTTAAACAGTTAATTGGAATTTAAATTGGACTACAGTCATGTAACACAAACAGAAGAAAACAAACCAGCCTACATAAATTGTGGGTGGTGGTGTTTTGAGAATTTTATGGAGGAAAAGATGGAGTGGGAATATGCCACAGACCTACAGTCAATATTACAAGGATGAAAATAGCACTATTGCCATTCAAAAAAAAATTAGAATGGGATAATTGTTCCATTTTACACTTAGTTGGGTTAAGGCTTTTGGTTTAGATTTAGTCAAGATTCTACTCTATTATAGTAGTTTAATTTTATTGTTGTGTAATAACAATGAAGTCATGAAATATGACTCAACAAATGTAGCAACAACATTAAAAAAACATAATTTAGCTAATTTATATTATATACAATTTCTTTGATAATTATTTCACTAATGATTTTATTAGATGATGCACTTCAGGTTTTTCTAAGTTGAATTTAGAATTAAGAGCAGTTCAAGTCATCTGACTACACAGGCTTTATTAATAGATTCAAAATTTATTATTAATCTGGAGGGGTTCTTTTGCAAACAGTGAATGCTTCTAAATGGTGTAGAAACCACTAATTTTAAATTGCTCAATTTAAAACCGTTTAAAATTAAAGAAGGTAATTTAAAAGAAAAATATTGCAGTAGTTTGTGTCGAGATGCTTTTTTCAGGTTTCCCCTCTTCTCCAGATATTTTCCTTTTTGAAATGTGAATCTAGTGGTGCTGTTCTGAGAACAGTACTGCAGCAGACAGGGTCCCCTGTGCTGGGGAGCCTTCACATGGGAAGTAATAAGGTTTATTCATTGTTGTTCCTTCCAAGAAGGTAGGGATTAAGTAAAAAAGAAAACTTACTCAGCAATAAAGCCAAGACAAAACTAAAATCAGTACTGAAGACCATTTTCAGGGAGTAAGACAGAGATGTCAATAAAGATGCCACAGGTCCCTCCCTGCAAAAAACTCCAAACAAATAACTAAAGTGTAACCAGTCAGCATCCAGTGTCCCAGTTAATGTAATTTAATCTGATTATAAATTCAAACTGTCCCCAGCCCCAGACATGCAGTCCTCATGTCATTTCTACATAAGGCTGTTAACTGATATCCAATTTTCCAATAAATTGCTTAAGAGAATGATAATCAGTTAAAACACACCTGTACAGCATATGGCCAGCCAAGCAATTTCTTCGACTTACTGCATTATTTTAATTAGACTTTTTTCCTACTTGATTATCAGTTCCAGTTATAAAACAAGATTAATAAACCTGCTTCTGTACTCCCCTCCACAGTACAGACACAATTGCTGCGCTGCCAGGCTTCCCTCCTGTTACTGTACTGGGGCAAACTCCTTTCATTTGAACTGCTCCTGTAATCTATCTGTCTTTATTTTGGCTCCTTGATCCATTCCCATTGCTTCAGGCTGCAGCTGAATATTCTTCCTCTAACAGCGACAGCAAAAATTATCACATGTTCAGACCTGAGAGAGACAGGTATGCGCTCTTTAGCCCTGTCCTGGTGCCTCATAATTGGCCCTGGGCTCATCAGGTTATTTGCAGCCAGCTCTGTGACCTCTTGGCAAGGAATTTATGGCAGTGAGACTTCTGTTTTCCAGAGAGGCAGGCTGGCACCAGGAGTCGAAGGTGGGTTTTGTTCAAACCTTCTACTCAGAGGGTTCTGGGGAACGACAACTTAAGACCTTCTCTTCATTAGAAAGCAATCAGGAAGGGTTTCAAATCTGACAGCAGCTGTGAGCCAATGAAGAGGTAGCATGCATGGTGATAAAACCCCAGAGAATAACTAGATTACACATTCCCAAGAGAAGGAGCATGAGAAGAACTCGATCTTAGTAGCATCTTTCCCACCATCAGGAGCTACCATTGTGCCCACCAGGCTACATCAGGCTGCTTCCTTGCCCATGTTTCCTTAAGCACAAGGAGTACCAGCCACACACTTCATCATCATACATTTAGATAACATAGATGCTTGTGAAGTAAAAGGGGGAAATTGTAAAAGATTCACATTGTTATCCTGATGTGTCCGGGAAAGAGGAACAAGGGAAACAACAACATGGTTAAGCTTTAGTCACCATTTCAGGAACCTCTAAGGAAAATTTGCTTCTTTTGTTCACATGGAAAGCTCCAGAGAGTATTCACCTTGTTGTACATGATGTAACTAAAAGCCCCTGAAACTTCGCTGTTTCTCTTCACCTCAGATTCCTATACCCCTTCTGACCTCACGATGGGTAATGTTGAGGCTCTTACAGCAACAATTCCGGGATGTCTTATCTATCAGTGACCAGTCATGTAATCCACTGGCCAAGACAGATGACAAACACTGAGATGGCCATGCCAGAGAGAAGATTACAGCCTGCCAAAAGTGAGGTGACTTTGTCCTTGACCTCAACCAAATGCATGCTGACAGTGGAGCTGGTCCTACTGCAACTACAGCAAGCAAACATGGGGACTGTCTTCAGGTTTGGTGTCAAGCTTGGAATTGACAGTACTCTCCAAATGCAATGTACAGGCAACCTCTTTGTCCACATGGGTACACTGGGCCCAATTTAGGACAACTATTCTGTTTGTTTGGAGCAACTCCTTTTTCTGAGAGTTAAAAATGAGGTGTCTGGGACAGCCAAGTTTGCTGAGGCCATATGACTAGTGAGACCTCACGACAGCCAAAACGAAGAGACCTGCCCTCTCCAAGTTGTAGAGAGCTGTCACATCATTGTAACTTGATATCTAATCAAAATTTAGAGATGCTAAGTTCATTGCATTTCGGTATGACAGCTGAGAAACACATGGTACACCATCAGGCACAAGTAACTTCCCATTAATTTGCACAATTAATGACATTCTTTTCCTCTGAGCTCTCGTAACAACCAGCTACCAGAACAAAATGGAGACACATATATTAATTCAATCACTTGTACTTACTGTTACTGCTAGTGTTACTGCCAATGCTGTCATTCCTAAGGGAGCTGGCAGCAACAGGAGGAAACAAAAATGTTTTTGTGACAGCGACTCTGGAATCTAAATAGAAAATGAGTGTGTCAGCATTATGTAACTTAAAATACAGTTCCCTCTATGTAAGATGATGGGCTATAGGGCTACTCTGATGTGGCTATAGGGCTGTTTTAAAAATCTGGCTACAGGGCTGTTTATAAAGTGGCTTAAGCCAAAAAAGGCAGTCTTATTAAGAGGCAGATGTGTCTACACACTGAGCTGCTGCTGAATAGCTATTCTGGAAAAGCAATTGCTTTAAACAAGTTCTTAGGTTATGGCACTGATCTGCTTCTAGTTACTACTGGTGTAACTGTGCAACTGGATATGTTGCCCTAATTAAAAAGCTAATAGCTGTCACTAGAGAGAGTAAAACAAAAGAGAATACAAAACCTCCATTTACTGGAAGGATGAGAATGAACTGCAGGAGCCTGACTTGAGCTTGTTAAAATTTTTAAATTAAGTAAACATGGCCCTTTTCAGGAGGGGTGGGATCAATATGGTGACTTGAGGCTGCTGCAATTTACAACTTGTCCTAGCTTCCTATCCTTTCAGTAGTGTAATCTTAGGCTCCTTTACTGCCTTATAAAAATTAAATAGAGCATTAATAGAAGATAAGAAGAACAATGTAAAAAGATGATCCAGGGTATATTTGGGGTGAAAAGAAACAGAGCAGAGTATTGCAAGGTTATTTGGATTATATTAAGGAATGATGTAGTAGGAACGATGGCACTAGTTTTACTGCCAGATAGAACTCGACCTAGAACAGAAATACAAGCTTTGGTGTTGGTAGTAATTTTAACTGTCAGTAAAAAGGAGACATGGAGGTATAGCATCAGATCCTTAGCATCTCTGAAATCAAAGGAAAATCACCCAGTTATATCTACCTAGAATCTGTTCCCCAAAATGAGAGCCATCTTACCATTCTCTGGTGTTTCTACTGTTGAAGGCAGAATGCAGTCATTCTTATCCAATGTGTCTGCAAACTCCTTGTAGACCTCAATGGTACTATTAAAGTGCCTAAAAAAAACCTCAGGAATGAAGCGACCTTCTTCATAAAGGTGACCATTTTCTTTTACAAAATCCTAGGGTAGAATATAGAATTCAGCTTGAAAGTAGGTCAAGAGAGATGCTCATTTCAGCACCTCAACAGATGATAAACGTATCCAAAGATGACACAAAATAGTTTAAATTTTTAACCTGCAGAAGACCAAATTTGCTGTATACAATCTTCATAAAACATACAAGCCCTCTAATCTGAGGATTTCAAATTAGCTTTGCAAATAGAAATAAATTATTAATCCAGTGTTGTAAAATTGCCAAGGAATGAAAGGCAGTCTCCCATCCTATGCTGAAAATTAAGAGACTTTTTTTTTTATTTCCCTCATTAAAAAAATTACCTTGACTTCACATTACTTTGCCATGTTCCACATGATCCTTTTAATCTGAACACAGGAACACAACACAATCATAGCTATTGTCATAAGAGTACAGGGAACAGAGTACAATAGCTGGGATACACTACTGCACAGAAGCAGGCTGAGATCCCTGATAGTGTACCTAAAAATAAGAGCAGGACTATAAACAAGGAAGCCCAATTACTTTGAGTTCTAACAGACAAGTATGTTATGCCAGACTAAACAACAAGATTGAGGTCTTGTTAAGATCATTGATGGTTATCTTCTTTTTGCCTTTTTACCTGACTCTGGCTTTCGTAACAACTGTTTCTTATGCCAGCAAGGCGAATTTGTCCTGGGGTTACACTGTACTCCCAAGAAGGAGGACAGTGGTAAGAACATGGGTTAAGTATGTACTAGGGAAAACTTCCTAGTTTTGGCTCCAAAATTATTTTATGTTTAATGCTGAAAGTACTAGACCTAAGATCATTCTTCTCTGAGGAAATCAATAGCTAGTAGTTTCTCTGAATTACAGGATATTTACTTCTTCATTCTAGAAAATAAAATTCCTCTTCCCCAACCACATCCCATCTGAGTGCTTTGAATCATCAGGACAAGAATAGGAGAAAAAAAAAAGAAAAAAGAGATACATTGAAGATGATTGGACAGAATTCAGTTTGAAATGGAAAGGTAGGGAATGTCTAAACACTTTCAGCAATATAATGCCAATATATGACAAGGTTACAAAGTTATGCCACTCTAAATAAGATTGAGTGTTTTAGTCCGCTTGATTCATTCTGGATGTTAAAAAGGTGCAATTAGAACAGCTAAGGACTTACTTGACAAAAATAAATGTATATGGAAGATGAAATCCTTGCCCTACAGAACATGACAGATTTTGCCCATTCTGTTCAGTGGGACACAACCTTCGACTACAGAACTTATTTTTAATTATGGATAGACTGGTTAGAGCTGGGTAAGGGATTAGAAAGTTAGGGGTGTTTTTCTCCATCATTTTCACACAAGAGAATCAGACGTTTCTTGAGTGGGACTCCTGGAATCCTTCCAGCTGCTGTGGGAATCCAGAAACACATGGAAATGGGCCGATATCCTCTAGTCTGCTGTGTCTTTGTATAAAAAAGTTCATTAAACCATGGTGAAGCTTTCAGAACTTCACACACTGTGATACATATTAAGAGTATATTAATAGCTTCAACCACGTCATCTTTAAATTTACATTAGGATCACTAACAAAATGAATAATTTAAACTGGATGCACAAGGAAGATTTCTGCCAGCTTCAAACAGACCAGAATGAATTAACTATCTTAAAGATGATGGTTACATTTTTGACTACTTAAGTAACTGTACACAGGTCATTGTATATACTGTAATTCCTTGTAAGCCATTTTACTTTGAAACAGGAGATAACGACTAGCCAACGTTAGCACAGTGTACTCAGTGCATTTCTAAACAAAGTAGGATTTCAGATGTACAGGAATAGAAATGAGAACAAATCTAATGAAGCTTTGGACATTTTTAAACTATTACTGAGTACTGTGCAACAGAAAGTTCAAATAAAAATATCCAGCATAAAAGTAGAAACTCTGTATAAGATTACCTTATTTTTATCAAAAGCTAGGCATGCCATAAGATCATTAATTATCCTTGTGAGATTATTGATGATTGAATAGTTGCTTAAAACATCAGACATATCTGAAATATCTGAAAATTTCTGGAGAAGATTATGCAGACTCCTTGAAAATTCAGGCACCATCAAATGCAACCAACAGTGATTAGGCTGTCAGGGGATAAAAAGAGAAACAGAGAGGTAGATTAAATATCAGAGTTTTGCAAAAACTGGCTAAGTAGCTCAGTGTGCAAAAGTAGATTAGACTGTTCTTCCCAATTTAAATTATCTTGAAAGTCTAAATTAAAATTTGTCTTCTTTAGCGTGGCCAACTTTCTCTCCAGTCCTTTTGGTAAAATTTCTGTTCTCACTGATACTGATGTATTTATGGTTGTCTGTTAAATGTCATCCCTTCACTAAATTCTTAATGAATGCTAAGCATCAGTCTGTTGAGAATTTGAGCCTTGGGACATCCTACTATGAACCCTCTTCCATGCTTTCATTAACCTATTTACTTTTTTTAAATAACTACTGCTTTAACAATTTTCTCCAGACTTTCTTTAAACCAATCTCAGTTTTCATTTTATTATTGTTACCCTACATGACTTAGTTAACCCCAAAGATTCTTGATTTAAATGTCTTCTGAGGAAGGTTTCCATAAATGTTTTGCGTGAAATCCATGTATGCTTTTATCCACCTTTGAACAAGTTAGCTTAGTTAACTCCTTCTCTTCAGCTTTTTCACTAAATGCCATTACTGAGAACAGTTTCTAGATCTAAGTGTCTTTCTTTTCCTGAGTTTTTGCCAACAAGAGGGTTCTGCACAGCCTGTCGTTGTATTTGCCACATCTGTGCCACTGGAATAGAGCTCAAATCCTTTCACTGAAACCTATGCAATTAGTTTGCAGATAAAGTTTGTACAGCTGTTCATTTGATTGAAACCTGGTCATTCATCTTGCTGCCTTAGAGGGAGTCATTAACTTCTTTTGCTTAGATTTACATAACAGTAGTCAAGTAAATAAAAAAGCCACCCAGCCTAGGAAAAACCCTAACTCAATATGGTCAGCAAAAATACAGGTAATGCATTAGCCACACTGCAACATGTACCTGGAAATCCTTTCCCAATAAATGCTGAATTTTTAATCGTAAATGTTATGGGAATTTATTCCATATGTGAAGCTATTTTTTCAATGGTTGAAAATGTCTCAGGATCATTAAAGCCTGCCAGGTATGAAGATCTTAGCGAAGCAACCCCTAAGTATTCTCAGTGTCACTAAACCAGTTTCCTGGGCAGCATTCACTGAATCCATCCATTCCACCTTCTGCAACACACAGTAAGTGTTTGGCGATGTATCCACTTCTAGACTTAATCTCATTTTACTCAATTTCTTCAATAAACCTGCATACAGATTCTTTATGCAAAAAAATGTATCCACTACTAGCAGTATCATCACCCGGCGACAAATTACTTTCTCAGTGACACAAGTGTTGTTCTGCCTTGATGCATAAATGTTTTTGGTGAGGAAAAACACATTTCACACTTTCGAAGACTAACCCGACTATTGGGCTTCCAGGCTTAGAGAATGAAATGTAAACACATTGTTCAGCTCCACCTGACTTTTCACTTTTCTGTGCAACTCTCTCCTACACAGATAATAAGTGGCAAGTCAGTATTATGACCTGGAATTATCTCAACAATGACTTAAAAAAGAATGAAACAAAATGTGAAATGCATGGCGTTTGGCTTGATTCTGCTTCCCTTTTTTCCTTCAAGCACAACAACAGGAGGGGAGAGACAAAAGCAAATAAATCAGAGAAAGCTTGTTGAAATGTACTCCGTTCAAGCAGCACGCATTGTGCCATGTCCCATTGCTCTCACAAGACAGACAATGCATTTGCCTCTGCTTTGGTGTAGGAACACGGACATAGAACAACTGTGCTTCCCTGAACTGCAAACCTGGAAACTCTTTTCCTCTGAGGTTTTGTGGGTGTGCATTCTCCTCTGGCAGGGACTAGCAAAAGCTTGCCGCTTCTCCTAGTGAGCATTTGGTGATTCCAGCAGGGAATCTATTTTGTTGCTCCCATGGTTTAGCATGTGCGTGGGAGTCTCCTCTGACTGAACCGTTCTGACCTACAAAGCTGTATTTCACGAGAGCTTTAAGCTTTCTTTTCAGTAATATCAAGCTGTGCAATCACTTGCTATCTCAATACCTACCAAACACAGGGATGAAACTGCTGAAATTGAGAAATGTGACATTGTTTGCAGGGAGAAATAGAGGTTTAACTCTGCTTTTTTTGTGTAAACTTTGACCAAGATTTACATTTTAGGGCAACTGCAAATATGACTTCCCTTGTACTTCCAGGTAGTCCTCATTTAGCTTTTTCTTTCTACACCTATCTAAAAGTTTGAAGTTTATCTCTTCTTCTGAGTTCAGTCCCTGCTGCTGTCATCTTTGCCTTTTAACCTTCAGGTTAGACTACACAGTTCACTCTATGCGAGACTACTTTTAAAGCCACTCAGATGCTTTGAGCTAGTGCATAATGCAACAACCCTTCTGTTTAATGGATCAGGTCAGTCTGTTCCTGTTACATGCACTACACTGGCTTCCCATCTGCTTTGCATTCACCCTGCCTTCCTACCTTTAGTCATCTACATTTGAGACTTGCTACCTTGGGTACATTTCCCACTTCATGCACACACTGAAATCTATTAAAAAAATGGCAGAGCGCCATTTCAGTCCTTTCTGAGATGAACAAAGGGCATTCACCTTAAGCAAAGCTGTGTGTTTCCCAGCTTGCAGGGACCTTGCAGAACCCGGAGTAAAACCTACTTATTCAGCCAGCCTTTGCTATGGTATGTGTAACACAACTGGAAATCCCCAGAGAGGAATCTGGCAAAGTGAGATGTGAATACCGCTGAATACTTCCTCCTGTGAAGGCACGTGGCCAAGAGCTGCACCTTCCATCACCGTGACTGAAAGTGGCGTACGAGCAAAGGGAATATGGAAATCCCATCTCTGAACTTCTCTTCTTCCTATTTATTTCTTGGCCACTCATTGTAAATGTAAACTGGATCTACATTTCTGGATATGATGCAGCAAGATGACATGGCATTTAAACTATAGAAAAGAAACTGCTTACTGGCAGCCAAAACTGAACCATGGAGTGAGGTAAGAGTTAAGCAGTGAGAACGACCAGGACTCATTGCTCAAGCAGGCTCCCTGGCCTTCTTCATCCGCAGTGCCAGCCCCCCCAGGAGCGCAGCAGAGGGAGCAGCCCCGATCCAGCCTGGCTCATCAACTGCCATGCTCATCCTGGAGGCTAGGGAGCAGCGCTCAGGCTACAGCTGTCCTCCACAGACGTGAATCTCATCACATCGGGCACCAAAATCGCTGAATTTCAAAAAGCACCACAGCCAGGGGATGGTGGCAGCCAGTCTTACTTCCTTTTTCTCTGGATATTAGCTATTTTCAGAAATGGAAATTTTTCCATTAGTTTTAATTATATTATATAGGATCTAGTATCCGACTTCCATAGTATTTGTTCTGCAGAGTTTTTCTGTCTAAGGAATCAAGTTTAAACTGGGTTTTCTAAAGTACTCTAAGTTTTAGCAAAAGCCTCAAGCTTCCAACAAAACCCATAAGCACACTGATAGATCTGCCACAATACCTCATAACCTCACAGCTCAGGGCCCTTCACTATCCCATAGCCTCCATTTCCTCCAGCCATCTTCTTGTTATTCAGGACTGAGAGAATGTGGCTTCTGGCATTGTTCTCCGATATCAACAGAGAATATTGCTAGATTTGCTACAATGCTGTAGAATAGGATGCTTTTTTATGTGTATCACACATAAACTGTTTTTTCATAATGAAAACTTTGTACAGACACAAAAACAGCTTCTTATATCTACCAGATGATTTCCAACTACTGATGTATGTGTACAATGATTCATTCTGAAGACAAGTACAATGTTGTTCAGTTTAACTGACAAACTAGTCTTTTTCTTACTTTTTTTCTTTCCTTAAAACAATATAGTACAGTATAGCATTCAGCATAATTTCTACCTTCACCTTGTTTCCTTCTCTCCTTTTTCTTGCAGTGGATGCCACAACCAAAAGACCATTTTCAATGCATCCTTCTAAAAATTTTTTTTAAATTTAAGGAAAAACATCAAAAATATTTAGTAAAATAGGAAATAAGATAATATGAAGAAGTTTTTAACACATAATGTTATAAAATTTTAAAGAAGGTAGATAATGCTTATTTGAAAATATCACTATGTATTAACTATGGGATTATATAGAAAGAATAACCCAAAGCCTGTTTGAATGAAATAATGTCCTCACTTTCTACCAGTTTGTTTAGTTACTGACACTACCATTTGCTGAACTTAGGGTTCTCTTTATTGGCTACTCAGTATTTGTTGTGCTTTAATGGCATTTCCACTGGCTGAAATGAGAAGGACATTCTCCAGTATATTCCAAAGTACAATTAGAAAGAAACTACTTCTTTGAGAAAGCAACAATTTTCAATTGACATGATGAAATAATAACGCAGTTTGACTTTTTCCAGAGTAAATGTTAAAAAATTTAATACGAAGAAATATTTTTCTAAGATTCCTGTATTTAAAAAGGTTATAAGTGACTGCAGGAATCTCTCCACATTTCTTTTAAATGAATACTTGTGAAGCATATGGAAGTGAAATAACTATTATTTAACTGTAACTTTCTAAGCCATAGGACTAGGTACAAAATGTTAGGCCTTCACTGGTTCCAGTGGGCTATTTTATTGGGATTAACTTGAAGTGGTTGTACATACCAGACTATCCATCTTCGGGACATATTTAAGGGTTATCATATAATCATTTGGGAGATTTCCAACCTACAATAAACAGATAATAAAAATGTTATTACTGACTACACAAAGTAAGACTTAATTTCCATCACTGTATTCTACAAAATCTGTCAAATATTCAACACAAATTTTCAGTAACCTACCAGGTGCAAAAGCTTACATACTTAGTTTCCTGTGGAACTGCTACTGACTTATTTGCTTACAAGTGAAGCCTCCTTTCACACCTCTGTAATGTGGTGAGGAGAAGTGATCTGAGGTTATTCATTACTTTAAAAACTCCACCGCATTTTCATCTTTTAATGGCATGTCTTGAAGTGTTTATGTGACAATTTCTGTGTAAACCCAACCACTCCAACCAGTAGAGGACTCAGTAGTCTCTAAGCCTTTTTCTTTCAAATAATTTCCAACTTCAGCAAGCATCCGAACCTAAAGAAATTCTCGCCTGCCTTGTGCTTAGTTATGTACCAGGTCAGAAAAATGCTTGAGCACAACTTTAACTTTGAAGCTGTGCCTCTTACTAACAATGAGCAATATAATTATATCATAGCAATATCCTGGGGCAAAGGAGAGCTTCCGCACATGTAAGCTGAGCACCGCTTTGCAGATGTGGGTGAGTACAGGGTGTGTTGAAACAAGGTCAAGGAGTGGAAGAAGGGTTCTCACTGAATTATACAATGCAATCTGCCACAGCTGGGATCCAGCACTACTGTGAGATGTGATTAATCATCTGGGCAATGTGCTGAGTGGGGAGATGATGAGGGAGACACTGCCATGATCCACAATCTCTTGAATTACTGTTTTCAAAAGGTTTACCAATACTATGATGCTTAGTGATACAGCAAATCTATTTTCTTTTGTATCAGTGAAAGATTCAATTGATATTTCTCATCCTTGTTTGAAATCCATTTAGTCAAAAGACAATAAGCACATACATTATTCCTTTGGTGAACCAGAATCTATACTTTGTTCAGCAAACCATTTCTACTTCTTCAGGTTAAAGATCATTCTGTTATGGCTGCTTTTGATTCTGCTTCTATAGCAACCAGCACAGGGATTATTTTTTTTCCTGTGGAGTTTTTAGGTACTATTTTGTTTGACACAACAGAATGTTTTATTTGTTAATTAAAATTTAGTTTTAATTAAAAATTGAAACAGCAATTTCAAAATGTTATGGTTCTCAAAATGATCATGGACAATACTTATGCACAGTCGGTCACTAGTGAATTCCAAACATTTTTTTATTTACAACATGGGCTGAGCCACAATCTCTCAGTTTAATGACATCTAGCTTACTCCTATAGTTTTAAAAAACAAGTTTTATACAAATGATCCTGGTAAATTCCTTTCCGTAGATCAATGTTATTTTTTATTTTTTTATTTTTATACCTACACATTCCCAAAACAGCAGTTGCAGAAGTGCCACTAAAATTCTCTATATCAATTTCTATTTACTTGGCACTTTGGAGAGTTGATTCAAGACACTATAAATACTGAAAAATATTGCAATACATTTGTTCTTTCTTTAGAGCATCTGATTTATTCTAAATCCTCATCCACAATTTTTTGTATATTTTCCTTCCTTTAAAACCATTCTGACATCATGACACATTAATAGGTAATCCAGTTTCTTTTCCAGCTTCTTTGTGTGCCTAGAGAGGTAGGATTAGCAGCACTTCAAGCAGCAAAGATAGTGAAGATGCTACTGTATGTGCAGAGTTTGCCATACTCACTCTAGAGGGATTCAACACTTAGCAATGTCAGCAAAAGGACCGTTCTTTAAGAAAGGTCACTGGAAGATTACATTTGTTCCAAATCAATGAACACTACAAGAATTGATATGCATTATGTATACAATCTACTTTACTGGCATCAGAGCCTGTCAAGCACTTTTCATGCACAGTTAAAAAAATGTAACTGCCCGAGAGCTCTTACAGCTTCTCAAACAAAGCCGGAGAATACAGCTCAGCCTCAGATATTTGTCTCCTTGACATACTGTGAATCAGAAAAGATATTTTTGAATTTACTACTAAAAATGAAGATCATTGGGGGGGAGGGTGTCAAACACAAAATATATGCCCTGCCTCGAGACGAAACAACTTGTTAAAGTTTTATTGATTAAACTCCACATGCCAGATGCTCTGCTGATGGTAAATGATGGAGCTCAGTCAAAGCGAAGGAGTTATATTTGTGTCCCAGTTGGACTTCCCAGCTCATGCACAGAAAATAGGGTAGAGCCCCTGATGTAAGAGTGAAGGATATGTTTGTACTAAACCTGTGCATTTTGTACTCTCTTGCTTTCCTGAAATGAATTTTGAAATTTTGTTGAAGACTAACCACCAAGACTATGATCCAAAACCAACACTTGATTTTCAACTGCTGAAACGATCCTGAAAGGAATGAAAGGACTCTGCATACCTACTCTGTGTGGGGTGCCTGACTGCTGCGGCTCCCAATAGGGAGCAGAGGACGAGGGCTCAGAGCTGCCTGAGCAAAGAGGGATGGAAAGGGACTGTCCCTTGAACCTCCCTGAGTTCTGGAATGGCTTTTTTGGTTCCTGTACTCAAGTCCTTAAGTACCATGACAAACTTGGAGGCAACAAAACACCTGCCTGCATGACTTACCTCGGTTTAGACAAAAGTAACAGTTTTGATGATTATAGAGAACATCAACTGACAATCTTGGAAAGTAATGCATAGAACTAAAAGAACCCTGCATTGCAATTAAAATGCCACAAAAAGTTTGTCTGATTTAGTGGGTGTGTGTGGTTGTAGAAATCCTGTCAGGCTCTGAGGAGAGGTGAAGAACAGGGAGCTTAGACTTATGCCTTTAAATCCATATAAACCCAACATTAAGTGCTATATTCCCAGTTGTAACAAAATCTCAAACTGGGGAATGTAAGATTGCTTTTGACATACAGAGGCCTGAATATTTAATACAGCATTTTTAACGTTGCATAACCCAAATACACTTTTAAAATATGCTCATGGTCACATAGACGGGGAGATGAAAAAGGGATGTTGTAAAAGCGATTTGGGTTCCATAAACTACTCTTTCATCGCAACAGCAGAACATAAGAGACATTACCTATCTCTGCAGTCAAGTGATTTGAAATGAGGTCTACTGCTCTTGGAAATTCTCTTTATTGTGACTGTTCTGAAAATTTTAAGGAGACAAGCATGGATTTCTTTTTTACTCTGAGGCATATGATGGGAAAATCATACTCTCCTTTTGGCTACCATTTCCACCTCCCATTTCTCTCTTCATCATTCCCCTTTTCCTACTCTTTAATAACTCTGCATCTCCCTTCTTTGCATCCTTGGCTTTTCTTTTCCTGCAGGAGCTTCCATTTTCTGTCCATCATATCTATAATCTACTCTATGTCATCTGCTAATGAAGCAGTTAATAAAATCCTCATCATTTGGCATAAGACAACATGCTAACGATTTCCATTCACACTTCTTACAGCCATAGTGGCAGATTATTTGCAGAATAACAAGACTGGATCATTTTTTATAACCCCTTCACTCAGGAGAGTTAGATCCATTTAAAAATAAATATCAAATGTTGCAGAGAGTGTAAAGTACACATTTACAGCAAAGATGCAATGTGAAGGCAAAGTGTTTGAAACAGCATGTCTCGAACAAGCAACCTGGTCAGTAAATGCTGACTACTGTTTGGGCTTCCAATGTTCAAAAGAAAAAAAATTGCTTTAGAGAAGTAGATCATGGAAGAAGAGCTGAATATCATAGATTTTGTTAATGGATGAAACCAAAATATGTAGGTACATTCTATACATACTGCACAGCTCAGTGAAAATTCTACTTATATGTAGGTTTGATGTTCATATTTAACAAACATATATACAACAGATTCCTAATTCTTATGCAAAATCAGTGCCACAATTACAGCAATGCAGCTTCCTGCTAGGGGACAGGCTTTATTGACAGGTGCTGCAATTACAGTTTCATAATACGGAACATTTGTTCATCAAGTACTGTGTTTCCCTCCAGACATCTTCATTAAAAAAGAAGCAGGAGTTCAAGTGATTAGTAATGCAGAATGAATACTCTCTAAATACTTTCGTTCTCTATATGTATGAAATTATGCTCTTTTAAAGTTCTCACTATTAAAAAATAAACAAAAATGATTGTTCAATTGTTCTTTGCTTCTTAAAATCATTTTACTTAGGACACATTCTTCACAGGACAAAATTATATTGTAAAGATTTGAATAAATTTAGTCTTTACAGAAAATACAAGTAATTTTTGTATGAATAGGTACCAGTCCGGTTTGGTCTTAGGTTGATTAATGCTCAGAAACCTTATTGTTATTGAATCTGCTCTTTCATTCCGATTCTAGCTCCTGGTATGAGTCTAGTATGAAGCTAGTGAAAATCCAGATTAACACCACTGAAAATGAGTTACACCATACATCTGTCCTCAATTTATCACTCAACACAAATTTGATTAGGCAAATGACCCACATTTTCAGGCACTGCACAGTGTGCCTTATTTATTCTCCAGTAGCTTAGGCTTAGTAGACATTCATGGTCTATAGTCACAGAAAGTGTTGACTGAGGCATGTTCTTCTCATACTCCTGGAATACAATACAGTCGAGCAGAACACATCCGCAGCCATGCCCAGGGGTTTTCTATTAGTGATATAGGGGGCTTACAGTACTTGGAACAAGAAGCCCAGAACCAAATAAATGAAGACTAGGTTGTATCAAGCTACAGGCAAAAGAGTTTGGTAGGGAATTGTGGCACAGAGTCCTTCCTGCGGCCATGAACAGCATAACAGATACCATGGAAATAATGAGGAGAAGCTAGGACAAGGGGGCAAACTCAGCATGTGTTAAGACATCACAGGCAGTGTTAATAGTTAGTGCCTTTGAAGACAAAACCAAGACGCTTGCTGTTGATAACAAAAAAAAGGAGGAACAGCTTGAAGGAAATAAGTAGAAGATACAGGGTCAGAGCAGCAAATTAATACACAGAAGGGCAAAATTATAGAAGTTGAAACAAGAAAAAGACTTTTCAGTAGACTGGATTTTTATCCACCAAGAATTTGGAAGAAAAGTGACTTTGTATGGACAGAGAGCTACAAAACATTTTTTCCTGTTATGACAGGAAAAACAACGGAGGTTTTAAAAGTGAACTTACAAGGGTCTGTGAAGTGTCAAGAGCCAAAATGGACACCTTTGTTATAGACCTGAATGGCTGGAGAGAGATGGTGATGCACCTTTACAGTGAGGAGAAAAGGCCCAGGGAAGATTAACATTTTGGGGAGAGGAAGAGACCATAATCTGCATCAGTGGAGGATTCAGGCCATACTGAATCTAAGCTGATGTCTGAGCATTTGTGATGAGACAGGAGGAAGAGAGGTTAATATCCTAAGCTAAATGATGGGACTTGTGTACTACTGCTGAATGGCTAGTTTATTGCACACAGATATGGGACTATACTAATGATTGTGGAGAGTTTAAAGAACATGACAGTGTGGCCGAGAATAAGGCCTTTAGAAACAACTGTCATACCACTCTCAGCAAGTGTGATAGAGCTTGTGGATAACATAACAATAACTATAGGCAATAACTGTACATATAATATTGGCTCCTGTGAAATCCTCAGCACTACAATTTGCTCTCAGTCTGAAAGGGGAGGACATTTATTAAAGACATTATGTCCTACTGGCACAAACTCTTTGGATCAGCGGAGAAATAAGACTTTTGAAGGCCAATAGGATCAATAAAGAACCCAATCACCTATGGGTGCTATGGCTAATTTTGAAGATGTAAGTCATCAGAATATCATTCCTTAATTCAATGAGTATATTTTATTTCAAAAAAACACAACAGCAGAAGTGGTACAAAAACACCTATAGTAATTTACAAGAGTTGTAGGGTCTTCTGAACTATATTTATAAGCAATATCATGTTGGAGTCCATATTATATGGACTAAGGATATATTCCATATAGCATAAAAAATAGTACTTTTTAGCAAAGTAATGTAATCAGTCAGTATTCGCTGTGAATTTCTCCCCTCTTGTATTCACACTCTCAGCTAATGATACTTTGTTTTAAAAATACTTTAAACCTTATTATACATATATTTTTTTATATTTTCCTCAATGTCAAGTTGTCATGGTGTAGCATTTCAAAAGAGAATGACCAACTTGCAATATAGTCAGTTTAATTGAAACCAAGAGTTCTTATACTAAATTTAAGATACTAAGCTTATTTCCATGTTATCCTTTCAATTCCAAGTGGCTTTATAGAAATTTCTGCAAGAAAAATCTATGCAAATAATAACGCAGACAGACAAAACGGGGATACAGACTTTCCTCAAAACATTCTCAGATGCACAACTCAAAACAGAGAGAATCCCGGTGCCTGGGCTTTGTATTTTCTGCATCTCTCTGTTATTTCTCCAACCCAAAATACTTTTGAACTTGTTAGTTAACTTCACCCAAATTTTGCATTTTATAGAGAGATCTGAAAGGTATGGGTGTAAGTCAGGAGAAGGACCATACAGCATTCTCACCGAGGAGTGGCTGGAGGAGCTCAGCCCTACCCCACTCTGCTCCGGCTTGGCAGCAGCAGAAGCACAGTGCACCCTGGACAGTTGGCAGAGGTTTTCTTCCATGACAAGCAGAACATACACCAGAACAACACAAAGTCCTTCCTGCCCAGGCAGCAGCCCAAGCAAAAGGGGATATAAATCGGGCAAGCGCTCAAAACATTGCTCAGGTAGGCATCATGCCTATGGGGCATGGGAGGGACCAAGCAACCACGCTGCATGTGGAGAACTAAGAGGGGATGTGGAGGAGGGTGGGGGTATGGAAACATAGTGCTGCAGGGATATCTGCAAGAACGGCAGTTGCTGGACAAGTCTGGAGCAAGATGTAGGAACATGACACAGAAAGTCACAGTCAAATTAAAGACTAACCTAACTTTTATGAAATTAGGTTTCTTTATCTCAAAAGCAAAGTGTGATTACTCAAGCTGCATGCAAATTTTTGTAACCTGTATTTATACATTCTTGAAGTTTAAATTGTACTAAAGGGAAAGTTAAAGCATTTATTCTGAGGATACATAATTGACAAAAAGTTATTGCTAAACCTGTACTAAACAATTTCACCAGCCCTCACAGGAGTTCTGTTATTCTGTGGTGCTTTCAACAGATTTAAATCAAAGCTTAATATTCTTTCAAGAGATTAAATATTATCAGAATTCTGCCTGAAGGGCGTAATGTGAAGAACTAAGCATTTGAGTAGGACTATAGAGCACCCCCAGAGATCTACACTATGTGCCAATATATATAACAATGCCCAAAGAAAACAAGTTAAGAACACTGCACTGGCAGCAAATGCAAGGGATTTCAAATTAAGTATTTGATAATATTAATGCTGGTATTGCAGCCATTTTTCCATAATGAAGCCATAATTCAATTAATATGTAGATGAAGGTATGCTTGTTAAGTGTTCATTATATATTATTTCTTAAAAATTGTGGTGTTAGATCCTGCACTACTGCAAGTTAGCATAATCACTGACTTCAGTGGAGTTAAATACCAACTGACTTCACACAAGCAGATGCAGTTTTTCAGGTTAATGCAGTGTTCAATTAAGTAACAGTTAAAATGTACTTAAATGAATTCAGGTCTTACACAAAGCCATGAGTCCTTCAGACTTAAACTTCTAGGTACAGCAAGGAGAGAGAGAAACATATAATGAGTGTAGCCCACTCACACCTAATGACTGTAAGAGCTGTTTGATCATTATTGCCTTGATTGCTACAACGATGCCTAATACCATACTATTTTTATATATGGCACAAGTTTCCTATACACCTAGGTAAAGACTTCTGGTTCATTTCAGTTGTGTTTGCTGCCAGTCTGCTCCACACAAATCAGTAACACAAAGACAATAATCTTTCATTAGCCACTGATTATTGTTTAACATAAAGAATAATTTAAAATGAAAGCTACTTACCAATTTTGCAATGTCATTCACATCATCTGTCACTGGATTCCCGCAGGAACTCTGGGCTTTGACAAGAGGATTAAGTAGGAGTAGTTGAAGACAAAAGCAAGTGATAATCCAAGTCTATTTAGTAAAAAAAAAAGAAACAAGAAACCCTAAATAAGCAATCTCCAAACATGAAGTAACAAGAGATTGTACTAATATTTTTCATGCACAAAGTCTAGATGCAACAATACTCTTCAACTTTCATGAGGACATACTCATACCAATACTTGTGCCAATCTTCATGGCAGGGATACACAGAAATGCACTTAATTGATCTTTTCTGGAAGGAAGTACCTTTAGAGTAATAATGGAAAACCTGGTATTGAGCCATCAGGTTACTTGCACAGGACCCTGCTTAGGTGAGTTTCTGCAAAGTTTACAGATACCAAAGAAGAGAAAGAGACAAACTTTACGATATTCTTCATCATCAACATAAAGCTAACTAAATACTTGTCATTCACCCGATAAGGTATTTGATAAACCCGTGCCTCTAAAGTGATAATGGTTGACAAGGAACAAAACGATACCAGACCACAGCAAGATAAATGGAGAAAGTTCATCATCACAGCCATTACATTTGGGTAGTTAAACTGCAAGCAAAACCACAACTGGACTCTGCCTGAATACTGAGATTTCAAGCAGCAATACAATACATTTTCTCTAAGTGACATGCTCTGGCCTCTCAGGAGTGGCAGCCTGGCTTTGGCACTAGATTCCCTTCCTAAATCCTATTAGGAACAGCAATGCAATGTACTCACACAGGCTTGTGTGACTCGGCCAGAAAAGCACCAGATAACTAGCAGCGATGCACCTGGGTGTCTCCTTCGCTACACTGCCTGAACTTCCTCACCTTTTGGTGTTCCTTGTGCTTTGCTGGTTTCTCACAGAGCCCCGTGCCAAGTTTAAGCTGCAGATCTTTATTTCCAAAATGTTAAAGCATTTAAGTTATGGATAATCAAAAGTTGCCTTGGGTTATGAAGCTTCTTGTGCCAGCTGACCGAAGCTGTCAGCAAGAGCCCATGATGATGTACATTTACTGCAAGTATGGAATTTGCCTGTCCAGGCTCCTGAGCCTCCACGAGAGCAGGACTGAGAAAAAAATTTGCTTTTGCACGAACTAAGATGCATCTCAGGCCTGTCTGTTCCCTGTGACAGGTAGACAGCTCCCATGTCCAGCCTTGCCTTCAAATGCTATCCAACCTTTCAATTTAAGACCAAAACAAATCAAACAACATAGATGAAGCTCTCCAGGAAAGCAGAGTGAGAAAATAACAGATTTAAAAGATTAAGTGTCATTACAGTAAACCCAGAGGGGCTAAGAAAGCATGATGATAAAGATTGCTTGGGAGTTACATAAACATGACAGAACAGTGCTAAGCACTTTCCCTAGAGCTGTTAAATGACAAGTAAAACTCTCTCTTGTATCTTATATCTCTTAAATCTTCTATGTATCTTACATCTCAAGGAAAACTGGTCATTTGCTTGCTTAGAATACAGCTTCCTGACTCATTTAGGCAAAACCAGTGTGGGCTGCTGCTGGAAAAGACAATCTAGCCTCCTCCCCCTGCCTCTTGCACTGGTACCGATGAGATGGATTAGCCAGCTGTACCAGGCAGATAACTTCCATGTTTGTTTTCCTGTGCTACTTTACAGGCAGGCCAGCTTTCTGATCCAGGTAACTGAGACAGCAGAAATGCTCCGTTACAGATGGGACAAGCCAGGACTGCCCGTTTTGCTGGAGCCTGCCCTTGGCTTTCCCTAAACTATACCTTCAGACACTACAGGACCATGACGGTGGGTAGACTTACAGAAAAAGAAATCGAAAATATTCTAAGCAAAGCACACATTCAATATGCAGCATGTCTTTTGAGAATGCCTCTTGCTTCAATGTAACTAGCATTTAGAAATAGTTTTAATTTAATATTTGTACAAATATTTATTGAGAATAATTACCTATGTGAAGAATTGAGAATAAGTCTTAACAGTCTTACAAAACCTCTGTATCTTATGCTATACAAAGCCTTGCAGTTACACATTTATGAACCAGCCAAGCTCTCCAGAGATGCAATGAAGCTGTCATTGTGTCAGAGCCACACTTGAGACACAAGAGACAACAACCCTGTTTCTATTCTCTACTTTCCAGTGAAAGGGTAGTGAGACCTGGAACGCGGGAACCTGGTTCTTCTGACATTCCTCCTCTTGACTAATTTGGCCAACCTCGGTGTGTTTGTACCTCTGCTTCTGTTTGCATATTGCAGTGACAGCGATGCTGCTAGTCTCTGAAAGGACCATTGAGAGCTCCTTGCAGTCTATAAGAGCTCAAAGTTGTTTAAGAGCTAGCTTTAGATGGTCGGAGAAACATCGACCTCTCCTCACATAAGCTCCAGAATCACAGAGGAAACCAAAGGGGACCTCAATTTAACAGACTACTTCCCCACTATGATTTTTGAAACAAAATTGTTATAAAAAAGGCAAGAAATTAATGACAGCCAGCTCCAAAGTAGACTAACTATACTGCTTTCAAGAATTAAAAAAAAAGTAGTTCTACCTTCAGAGTTAAACAGTACACTAGCAGTTACACTCACTGGGGTTCAGGGATGTTTCCCTGATGTTTTCTTTGGAGATGGAGTACACGCCAGAAATCACCTATTTCTTTACTGGGTTCCTCAATATTGAGTAGTATGTAAAGGAAGATGAGATCTGTTCACTGACTTGTCTCACCGTCATAGGGCAATGTTTAACCTAACAGTCTGATAATCAAAAAAGTAACAAAACTCTTTAACTGGAAATACTTTTTTGCCAGATCAGCTGAGTAATGTTAATAAAAGCAGCAGCACACTCCAAATAAAAGCAGAACTCTGATGCATCTTGTCAATTTTCATACTTCTGGATCTAACGACAACCCATACATGAACCTTAAAATCACTACACATTTTATAATTATGCAAATCAATAAGAACACACTTTTTTTTCCCTATGTAAATAATGGGATTTAAAAGCATAGTAATTTTTATAACTGCTATTAGAAACAAATGCTTTGTAAATTTTGAGATGATTTGAGGTTTTTCTTGCTTATTTGTTCCCTGTGTCATCCAACAGGAAATGAAAATCTGCAAAATACTGCTAGTTTCAACATGCCTATTATCCAAAATCTTTTAATTATTTGCACTTACAAAATATTTATATTACACATGCCTACAGGCACATTGTATGTAAGGACTGTATAGATCAAAGAGCTAAGCTATTTTTGTGTTACTTACTAATGACCAAACCTGCTGTTTGAGCAAAACTTGAATAGACTGAATTAAATCAAGGACAGAACAAAAGAGAAGCTTAAACAACAGCTTTACAAATAGAGATTCCAGTTTTACACTTTACTAAGCACAAATGAAAGTTACCCACACAGTACTCATAACAGATTTCCATATATAATTACTTCTAAGCTAAAATGGGATTTTCAAAGCTGGCCACAGGATTTAATCACACATCATCTACCAGCATTAAATTGAAGATATATGGCAGACAGGAGGCAGACCTGTATACCAAAGGGCCTCTTCCTATTTTTGGCTCAAAAATTATTCAATTGTTTTTATATTCTGAAATCTCTTAAATACTGAATATTTAAGTTGCTTTTGTGAAAGGGAAAAATGCTGATTAGACTGGAGAGGATACTTCAAATTAAAGATTTCAAGTATACAGTTTTGATCATTCTGCAAATGATTTTCATTATTGCTTATAAACCACAATCTATAATTTCAGTTAACAGCATTTTAGAGGCTTAGCTAGTGATCCATATGTGTTGAAGGCTATCCTTTCAGTTGTAAATCAACAACTTTTTCATTTATGATGTTCTTCATTTATGATCTGGAGTGTTGACAAAGGCTGCTGAATGAGTGCTTTAGCATCTTTTTCACAGTATGCCATCAAAGATACTCAATCCACACTGGTTAACATTCAGCTAATACCTTAAGTGGAAAGCAGCAAGGGGAATACCACATTGCTAAATAAGCCAAACATTGGAAAGTCTGGACATTTCCAAATATCTAGTTTGGACTGACAACAATTCTAATCATAAGCAGGGAGAAATCATAAAAAAAAAAAAAAGGCAAATAATAAAATGCAAAAAACCATTAAGCACAGGGAGAGACAGTAACTACACAGATGAATGGGTTCTTCATTATAAAATTTCTTGCATTCAAATCATGTTAGCCATGGAATTTTTCAGCCCAGTTTCTTGAGCAAATCATCCAATTAACCACAACTAAGCCATGGCTGCAGTAGGGTTAGCTGGCAATGTGGAACAATATTCACCCTGGGCCAGGCTTCTCAAATTTATTTTTCACTTCTGCTAATGCTGGGGTAGGAACACCTCTCCATACCGGCTCCTCAGGCAGTGTTTGCATGCTGCTTCGCAGGGGCACAGCTTGTGAACTTGTTGCCATAGACAACATTGGTTGGTCAGTCACAGATAGCTAACTTAATGTTCATACTTATGCCTTAAAAAGCCTTTTGTAAGAAGATTCAGAGAAAATGAAAATAGCAAGAAAAGATCTTTCTTGCCTTTATTTTTTTTTAACCACAAAGCATCCAGGAGCACAATAATTATTTCATATGTCTACTAATCTATTTAGTTATTTAGCTGTGACAGAGATAATTAAAGTCATGGAATAATTGTCTTTAACCAATTAAGAAATTTACTGTTAGCGTAGAAAAATCTTAAAGTGAAAGAAGAGCATTTATATGGAATGTAATCCATTTTCATGTTATTCAGCAATACCTTCACCCATGCAAATGACAGCGCTAACTTTAGTACTCTAAATAGCTGTGCCTAAGTACTGCTTAAATGTTAAATATTGCTCAAGCCCCAGACAAGCGAGTTAGGTGTGGAAAAAAAAGTCACCCACCCATGACCACCTCGTTCTGGAAGCAGTGAAGTATTTTGGCAAGCACATTTGGAACTGGAAAGGTCTCTACATGCTCTCAGGTACCCTGGAGATTAGTTCAGTGTAGCTGGAGAAAACACTGCATGATCCCTGAATAACACATAGTTGAAGCATTAAGTCCAGCATACACCCATCATTGTCCTTCAAAAGACTGGCACTAGTCTAACCGAATATCATAGCCTATCAACTAGGGTGCTCACTAACGAGTGATGGACCTGGGTTAAACTTCCTTTAACCAAGGTAATTCCAACTCACAGATATCTATATTCCTCTGATATCTACCTCGCAATTACCACTGGAGACACTTTCCTACCTATGACGGCTTCCTAGCCAGAAGGGGCAAAATGGGGGTACATTGGTATTCCTGACCCTTATTTTTCAGAACATTTATGCATTTTACACTGGCAAGCCATTATGTAGAAAAAAAAAGACATGTTCGCTGCACAGGCATCAGAACGTTTATGTGTATCCTCGTCTCGCACATGCTCCTCCATCTGGGCACCCTAACTTCTGGGAAGCTCCCCAGTCAACATGCAAGTTTTCTTGAACAACCTTTTGGCAGTCCATTGAACAAAATGGAGGCTAACTCCAGCTCAGTGAGTCACCCTGCTGGGGTGAGACACCTAAAACTCTCTGGATCACACCCTACATACTTTGTTATGAATACAAAAAGCAGATGCATACTTTTCTAGTGACCGATACTATTCTTCATTTTTTTAACAATGATGTGTAGTAGGGAGAATGATGATAAAAGTAAACAAAATTCACCAGGGAGTATCAGAGTGATTTATTTGGATTCTGATTTAAACACGGATTACAGAAATGCTGGTCACTCTTTTTCAAAGTAAGTTTTGGAGTGCTTTAGACATGAAATATTTGAACACGTATTCAGTTATTTACAGAATGCAGACTACTCTTCTACCCAGTTCTGCATATAATATCTAAAATATGTAATACAAGGGTACTTCATGGGGTAAAGGGAAAGGAAATTAATGAGTTACTGTTAAAAACATAAGCAGGGAAAGGTGCCACTGCCCCCTACATTCAAATGAGTTAAGTGGGCAACCTGCTTTCACAGCTGTTTAATCTTTTTGTGACATTCTGTATTTGCCTTTCCATGATGTTCCCAACCATAAAACTTATTCCCCCTAACCTTTGCACACTCATCCTATGAGGGACTTCTGGAATGCCTAATAACAACTGACAAGAGCAGGATTTTTCAGCTAAATGTCCATTTGGTGGCAGAATGCTAAAGTGGCACTTGCTGGACTCCACCAGCCACACGTGCAAAGGAAAAGGCAACTGCTGTATCCAGATGCTTACAGACCTTGTTCACTTCTAAGGTATACTGTTAATGAATCAAAAATAGCTCTATTCAGGTCAATGAATAAAAATAGTTCCAAACCTGTTAAATGCTAATGCAGAACTACTTTTTCTTCACTACTTTTTCTTCAGCTGGAAGGAGAAACCATTCTCTAGTTCTGCCAAGTTATGCACATCTTTTTCCTAAGACAGACACATTTAAGATACATGGTCTTACTGTGCTGAGACAACGATGAATCACACTATTCTTTCCCACTATCCAGATCTTGGGAAAACTAGGAAGCTGCTTAGACTATATGCCAACTTAATTTCATGCAGCCTCAGGCCAATTGCTATCATCCTCTACCCTTTCCAGCTCTCCCTGACAGATGCAGAAGCAGCAGGCTGGTCCAGCCAATGTGCTACTGTTGCACTTAGTAAGGTGCAACCAAACTCCTGCTGTGTTTGGTTTGTGTGTTTCACCTGGAACCAACATGAACATGATAAGCAAGAGGAAGTGTAAATTGATATAGAGTTTGCCTTGCAAATCTGTGTAATCCAGGTATTTTGTAATTACAACTACAAAACAGTGTTTTTAATGTGTAAATTAATGTATTTATTTTCCACCCCATAAGGATACCCATGTAAAATATTTGGCTGTCCTAAAAATGTTGGCTTTGGTCTTTAAAAATATTATTTGGTCCATAATAAATTTTGTCCACTTTTTGATCTCACTTGACAATCAGGGATTCAGGCGGCTTTCATGCATCCTAAATCTCTCCTGGATGACAGACAGTTTATTTAGTTCCCAAACACCGGGAAGTGAAGTTACCAAGAGACAGGTAATTATATATGGATGCTCCCTCTGGAGCTTATGTTAATGGTGTCCAAATAAATATTTACTGATAATCATCCATCAGGTGGCATTCTAGTTCTGCAAAGAACCAGGAGTTTTATGGATAAAAACATTGCAATTGGAAGAAAGGTTAAAAATAAAAAAAACCCACATATTTTGAAAGAAGTCTTCCTGTTAAGTCATAATCAGAGATTATGAGGACCTTCAGAGGTCCTTCACTTAGTACAGTCTTTTTAGCACATATGTACTGGCAAAAGATATTTTTTTCCCCTTCCTTGTAAAGTTCCATTACAATCATCCAGGACTGGTACTGAAATTTTACACTTTTCTATCCCACTTTAGACTGATAGAGACCAATATTTACTTGTTCTGTTAATGGAGACACTGAGATTCAAAATACCTACACATTGACTCAACAAAACCTCCCACAAACTCCAAAGAGGAAGTTGTCTTTTTTTTTCCCTCCTGGGAACTTACAAAAGAGTTTTCTAGCATAAATCCAAAGGCATTTTTAAGTAATTTTAAGGGGAAGGCAAAGTAAGATACAAGATTATCTTGGCAGCAAGGACAAGGTTCTCACAATATATATGGAGGTGGATGATCTGACTTCCTCAGGGAATGAAAAG